CACACCCTCACATCCACACCCATCCCACACCCTCACATCCACACCCACCCTACACCCCAGAGCTCCGCGGGACGAATCCCGCCCGATCCCGCGCTTTTCCGTACGTCCACACACTATTGTATGTTCACGCTTGTTTCTTTCCATTATGTTTGTCAACACGTCTATCAAATATCAAAGCTGCTCCTCTATATTTATCGAAAACGAGCCAAGGCGCAGGACTTGCTAGACAAGTTCCGTGAACCTCTGATAGATGGCACCTACCGTCTTAAAATACTCTCCGGAACTCGTTCCGCGCTTCGGCTCGTTTTCAATAAGTTCAGCGGAGCAGCATTGGAATTTGATAAACATGTTGGTAAACATTAAAAAAAGAGATGAGTGTGATGATACAGTATAGTGTGTGGACGTACGAAAAAAGCGCGGGACTGGGCGGGATACGTCCCGCGGAGCTCTGCTACACCCACATCCCACACTCACCCACACCCACACCCACCCCGAGATTATATTTTCTGAAGTTATTCAGGTCTTAAAATATCAGGACGCGAATTCGTGTCGTCTGTGCTCAGAAGGCTAATAAAATCTGAAACGATATAGATATGCAATGAATGCTCTGTTCTTTTATTTGTCATATAATTTGAGTGTCACATTTGTGATAATCACGATATTTTTTTTCTTAAACCAATACAACATCGTATTCCCATACATAAAACAGTAAATATCAAAAAGAAGATGCCGAAACCAATATAGACGAATCCGTCAGTTGGATCTGGTTTTGCCACTTGTACACTCTTATCCTCTATCGCACTGTAATAAAAGTCAATAACTGTTCCTATCTAGAAAAAATAAAATAAAAAATTCCATCAAAGTCGATTTCATAGATCATGTGTTTTATGCTTAGGAAGCATACTTTTGTTTGTGGATATGAATCAGACTTTGAATGGATTATTCCAGTTTGATTTGACTCTTGTAATGTTTTGTATGCAACAATCATCGATTGTGCATAGCATTCGTACGACACCGAGGTAACTAAATAGACAATAAACTTTCAACAAGTGAATAGTACTTAATAAGCTCCCTCAAAAAATGATAAACATTCGCAAAAAACAGAAGTGAGGTTCTTATATATGACTAACAAAGGATTGAATATTATCATAGCCAATACTAAATAGTTCTTATATTCTTGAAAAAGTCTCTGTTGAATTCTCTTTTACCAAAAGTGTCGATATGTTATGCGTTAAAAGAAACAAATCGTCAAAGCTCCTTAATAAATGTGAAAAACGAAAGGTGACTAGAATTTTTCCATTTTGAAACCTTTTGTTGCTGTTTGCAAATAATGGATCGTTGGGCGGTCGGAAATATTTGAAAAAGTACATGTTTGAATCAATATGATAATTTCAAGCGAACTTACCAACTCTACCCGATACTACGGATCGTGAGCATGTTGCTCTTTTTACATTTGCAGCTAAAACTGTGCATTGACCTTTCAAGTACGTTTTTAGTTTGTATTGTTCATCAAAATAGATAGTAAATCCAACTCCCAAAAATAATGAACTCACACATATACCAAAAATAAGGGGGCCAACACCAAAATGCCTCATTGTGTAGCGCTAGTTTGAATATTTGCTGCGTGAAAAGATAAGAGTGACCATGTGAGATAACTTTCATTTTCCTCACTTACTAATCGCAACGTCAAAGAGATAACTTTAACAAAAAGAATAAATAACTATGAAGAATAAAATTATGCCTATTCGTATTTATACTATTACGAGATTTGAAGATATCATTTTAAAGTAAATTTTGACATGATCAATATATCTGTTCCATTATTACAAAACATATTAATTACTCATCAGTAATAATGAAATAGTGACGCATCTATTCCTGTCACATGAAAAAGAATTGTGTATGATAGAATTATTTTAGAGCATAGTCAACACTCAGGTAATAATATAGTGTGAGTTATATTTTGTTGAAAGAGTTAAGGGTGAGGGTGAGACAGATAACCTCAATACTTTTTAAGAAATATTAGTATTTCGGTAATGTTTTTTAATAAAAACTTATCAAGTAACATAGTTGTATTATAGTCATTTGATAACGAATATTAATAACATAAATTCTATCCAAAAAGTGGGCGTGAGGCGAGACCAATTGAGGGTGAGTATTGAGTCAGATTGCGATTCTGTACGGTTTTCATTCTCCATTCATCCTCACATCCTTAACCTCACCCAGACTCGTCCTCGCTATTGACCAGGCCTTTCCCTCTCCGTCACCATCATTCGTGACTCCTTTGTGTGCGTTTGGGTGTGAGCGTGGAGCGTGGGTGTGGGTTAAGAGACTAGCTACACCTACACCCACACCCGCACACCTATACCCATGCCCACATCTCACATTCATACCATACCCCATACTCACACTCTAATGATAATATCTTTCTTCCTTATTTTTTAGTGAAATAGATTGAACTAATAATACAGATCTTGAAATTAAAATGACTGAAATACGTTCTCTAATATTCTAGGTAACGAAATTTCGAATTTTTGCGAAGATAAACAATTATATTCAATATATCAAGGATGATGCTTTGATTTACTACAACTGTCATATGGCCGGCATAAAAGTATGAATTA